AGTGAATGGTCTCTTAGAAAAAAACTGAAGTACCATTAAAAAGAAGCATAAGCGAAGATAAATTCTTGTTAATGCTTCTATTCGAATTCTTCAATGAGTACAGATTTTCTTTCTTAATAAGAGAAAAATAATAACATGAAAACTTTTAACACATTCTGAGCTATTCCTACCATGTCCGTTAAAAACAATTATTTATGGCACTACTCAAGAGGCAGAGGCAGGAGGATCTCTCTGACCTATAGGACAACCTGGTTGGCACACTGAGTTCTAAGCTTACCAGGTTGACCCCGCCAAGAACAACAACAAATGCCTTAAAAATAGTATTTACACATGTAATAATGCCTAATAGCTATCATATACATATTCAACACACTTCTATTTTTAGGAATAAGCAAAATATTCAATTTATACATTTTTTGAATTATAATCTAGAGCCTACTGGATTTTTTTGTTTGTTTTGTTACTTCCAACAAGGTCTCATTCAGGTTAGATGGGACACTACCCCAGGATGTAGCTTTCTGAGCTAGTCCTAATTATTCCTGCTTTCTAATAGTATCCTGCATACTCAAAATGCATTTAAGTACCATAGGGCCAGAAACACAAAAATTAAATATGTCCTGCCATTATGGAGTTCAGAGCTAGAAGGTGCAACTCGTAAATACACCAACAGTGCATAGAGTCTATGAAGCATAAACATAATACGTGAAAAAGCTGCAAAGGATACACAACATTCTAAGTAAACAAAAAAGGTACATATGAAACAAGGTAATATCAAATATCACTACCTGGGAAACAAAATGAAGCCGGGCTATAAAATCTGCTATGTTATACTATTCTTGGAAAATGTATAGTAAGAGTCAAGAAAGAAACCGTGACACTTTTAATCAATGGCCTAACTAGTACCAAAAAACATCTATAAACAAAGTATTTATTTAAAATTATAAAACTTGATCACAAAAAGCTACATAATATTTGCTACTTTGGTGTCATTAAATGACTATTTTAGTGTTATTATACAATATGTATATCCTTATGTGCCTTAAGACACCAAAATTTGTATTATTCATATATTTAGTTTTCCACACTGAATAACAATAGTAAATATATAAGCTATTATAGATGGGCTCATATATTAATACATTAACATGCAAGAAATTGTTTTAGTATCAATACCTACAGTTGGATTACATTAAATACCTCCATGAGTCTAAGATACAATTGTGAATTGTGTCATTTATTTTTAAGCTTATAATTTAATTCAATGATTCTCCCTCCCCTTTTCTCCCTCCAAATCTTCCCATAAATCCTTCCCAAATTCCCTTCAAATTCATGGACTCTTTTTTAATTAAAAATTATATATATTTAATAAATTCAATTTATGTGTATTTGGTTTATAAAACTCTATCAATAAAATATAAATTATTCTGATTATCAATGAACAGAATCTCAAGGAAGCAGAGTTATGATCATTATTTAGTACCAAAAAAATGCCTCTTCAAACGAAACTATAATGTTCTACATACCAAGACGAATTTAATAGTCTAAATGCCCTCAGACATTTAGGAATATTTTTTTGCATCTTTTAATAACTAAACAGTTATACCACTTATATTTTGAAAAAGAGAATTATCATTACTACAACTAAAGACATAATGATATATCTCACTGTAATTAATTAAACTCATGAAAAAATCTAATTCAATAACTCATGAAACAAATCTACAAGACTATAGTTGAATTCTACAATTATAATTAAAATTCTATTACCTAAAAGCAGACTTTAAAAAATATTGCAATTATTTATTTAATTAATTTTTTATTTTATACTTTCTAAAAATTTGTTTGCTAAAAAACTTCCATGTTATAAACAAAGATAAGACATGATATATACATAGCATTTACTTGAAGGAAGTAGAGACTTTCTATAAATACATGTCAAACATGTTTACAAAGGAGACAATACACCAAATATGCCTATTTTACAAGAAAAAGCTAACCAATAAAAACTCTTTTAACATAAAGAGTTTCTTATGATGCCACATGTAAAAATTCCTTGTGAAGTCAAAGCTTCTTGAGAACTAGCTTCTGTCACTGGTAGAACCACAAGGCAAAATCTTAACCACACAATCTCCTTGTAACCTTATTTTCAAACTAACTCAATCATCCCCCTGATAGCTCTGTTCCATAGTTGAATGTTTTCACTCACCTACAATCCCATGATAAACAATGCAAGCACCTATAATGACATCATTCACTTTATCTATTACACTAGGATTCTTCACTACAATCCTCCCGATTAGGAGAAATGGTCGCTTGATAAAAAACAGAAAAAGTTTAAGTAGAGTTCTATATTTTACTACATACTACATATTAAACTTTACTTAAACTTTATTCTGCAAATTTTTTTCAGATAAGGAGAAAAGGACACAGCATCTGAGAACCAAATAGTACTATTTCATATTTTCTTATTAGACAGAAAGAGTGAATGAACAGGAAAAACAAATATTTTGTCAAAAGTGTACAAAGGGTACACTTTGTCAAGGGTACCGTAAAACTCTCAAAGTTACATTAGTTCCCTTCCTTTCTTTTCTGTCACAGCACAATGTAAGAGATACCTCACTGTTTCCACCTTGTTTTTTCTTCCATATTTTAAATTAAGACTGAAAATTAAAAAAATTCATTTTAGAAATATTAAAGGCTTCCAACTGCTAACAGGTCACTCAGTACTCTAAATGAATTTTACTGGCTATATTTACTTTTCAAATAAAAATAAAGCTTTGATAATTACTGTAATGGCAAATATACTTTAAAGAATCATCTTGAAATCCCCCAATTTCAATTATGACTTTTTGAACAATAAAATCTACAATTCAAAACCTATACCTCATATGGCTAATTCAGGAACTATGATATAGCCAGCAACATAATAATAAATAGCTCCTTTTGTCATATACTCTTTATCCCAAAAGTTTCCACCTAAAAATAAACTGCATCCTTTAAATCCATGCAAAGAGAATTTACACCTAGTATTTCTATTACAAAAAATCAATTTGGGGAATTAGGGTGTAAGCAACTTGGCATTACACTATTTCTAAAGTCTGTAAGCTAAGAGTAAATATCTAAAAAGAAAAAAAAATGTGTGCATCTCTCATGGTAGATTTCACTGCATTGAAGAGTTAAATTTCTTTTTAGCACAAGAGAAATACTTCACTTCCTTTTTTAGTCTCCTGTGTATCTAAAGAAGCCCATCTGTTAAGAACTAATCCAGCAGGCATGGTTGTTCCTGCACAGTCCACACTGGTTACACATTCGAATCAGTCCCACTTGTGAGAACCCTACTGCCTCTTGGCAGGTTATAAAGCACGAAGTAAGCACACAAATACCATCATCACATCCTCTAAAGTAAAAAAAAAAATCCTACTGGCTACAGAAAAATGGAAAAACGAAAAATGTGTGTGTTCTTTAAATATACATAAATTAAGTAGCAGCTAATTTATTAATAAATTTCTTGAGATTGCCTTATCTTTTCTTCTAAAAGGAAAAAGCAGCAATAAAAGTAATGACCTATTTGAAGCAAGGTAGAAAAAAAAAAAAACATATCCCCATTAGTGTTTTGAAAAGAACTGCTTAAATCTATGGGATGACAAGCTCACAAACTTACATTGACTTTTGTGTTGACTGATTTGAAGGGTACACAAAAGTAAAAAAAAAAAAAAAAAAAAAAGGTATTTTGTATTCAAACAGAGATAAATACAGAGAAGTAAAGACAGATAACCTATCTTTGACCTGACACACTCACAAAAAGAAAAAAAGATGCTTCAACTTTTCTGTGAATTTCAGGGGTTCATAAACCACAGGCGTTATCTAATCCACCTCTCCGTGCCACTGCCATTGCTGCACTCCACTTCCAATTCTCCAACACATCAAATAAAAATACTTGACTGGCTGAAAATTCACACTGCATGCGTGCTATTAAAAAAAAAATCCCAGCAAGCATTTTTCATTATGTTCCTTTTACTTCACACCGAGTACAATGGTCAATTGATTGCTTCTGACTTAACACCTGGCCTTCCAAAACCCAACCTTACTGAATGTCAAAGGCGAGGTATTGCAAAGAAAACTGTTTTTAAAAGCTTTGCTGCAAAACATACAAACAAACAAAACAAAAACAAAAGAAATGCATTAGGCATTTATAGACACCATAAGCTAGTCTTAATCATGCTCTATTTAGGATCTCCCTCTCCTTTAGGTCGTACCCTGTCATCTTGAACACTGCTTAGGCTCTCCGTAGATAGCGCAAAACATTAAGTCACACACAGTTCTGCAGTAACTCTCACCATGAAAGGAGCCAAAACCTAGGCTGCCTTTGAAATCTTACTTCTGGTCTTTATCCTCAAGCCACGCTCCTGAAGGCAACCATAGAAACCAACCTGTATGATCCCGTTGCCCCTTACATTTTTAACACCTTCTGTGCCCCACACCCCCACAGGTAAGAGATCAGCATAACTGGAGCTATACTACAAAGAGGGGAAGGTTGCCTGGTGATGGGGGCGGGGGTGAATAAAGGCACAACACTCTCCATCACGGCCGCGGAATGTGTTTAAAGACAGATGCAAAATCTGCATCATTCGTCGTCCTCCCTGGAAAACACAGCACCCCAGCTGCTCAAGTTGGAACGCGTGCGCTTCTCACATTTCAGGAGCACGGGGGGTGGGGGAGTGGGGGTTCGGGCTCTTGGGGCCCCGGCTGTCACCCTCTCGGAGCCACAGCACGGACAATTAAGAGACTGGGAAGAAAAGCCCCAGAGGACCTGAGGTTCGCCTCACGCCTCCACTCTCGGTGCAGGCCGGAATGACCAGTCGTCGGAAGTGCCGGGTTGAGTTGGGCACCGCGCGGGTGGCAGGAGGGAGGCGGCGCGGCCGTGGCGACGCGCGGGCGGCCGAGGGACACGGGGAGGCAGGGCGCGGACGCCCGGGGGGGTGGGGAGAGAGGGCCCTTACCAGGTTGAGCACGGTCTCCACGATGTCCCTGTTGCTGACCTCGCCGACCTGTATGAGTCCGATCAGAACGGCGAATTTCATCCGGATGTTGCGGATCGGCACCGAAGGGTTGATCATCCCCGCGGGCAGCACCACCGGGCCGGCCCCGGAGCCGGCCGAGCCCCGCGGCTCCCCCATGGCACCGCCGCCGCCTGCACCGCCGCCGGCCCCGACGGCCAGGAGCGCGGCGGGCTGCGGCTCGAGCCCCGGGCCCGGCTTGTCGCTCGCCATCCGCCCCGCTGCTGAGGAGCCGCGCCGCGCCGCCGCGCCGCCTCCGCCGGTTCCGTTA